CGAAAAAAAATGGAACTGAAACCGAAAATTACTGAAGCCACAGGACCGAAACCGATACCGGAACCCTTAAAAAATAATTCTACCTAAATAGTGTGGAACCGGAATCTATATTTCATATGGGTTTCAAGCCCTACTTAGTACACATTTTTAGAAAGGTAGAAATTGAGGAATGTAATGGAAACAATGTAAATAAAGTATAATAAAAGGGCAAGCTTTTGTGGACTTGTCGTAGGGGGCAATTGTCCCCTGCTGTACCCGCCATTGATTACGTTCAACTCTGGGGGAACATGGCAACCGTTGCGCTCATGGTCACACTGTCAGTATAAAGTCACAGTATCATTAACTTCAATGACTCTATAGAGACAGTGTGGTCTTACGTGAGTGTTATTTTCTGTTGGTAGTGGGGAGATTCGCCATGTTTTGGCTAAATACACCGGATTGCTGGAAATGAACCTGGAAACCAAGGTAAGATAACTTGCTGGACACAATTGTGGCAGCATTATTGTAACCACAAAAAAATCTACTAATTCGGTTAAACCGATCAGTTCAATGATAAATTGGTAAAATAAACCTGGCCGACATGGACGGACGGACTAACGGAGAAAATGTCCAAAATCATGAACTCGCTTAGGAGCTCGGTAATAAACAGAGAAGTAAACTATGGCAATGTCATAACTGAACTCGAGAAATATTACCTTGTCTACTATGATTAGTTGGTATATTGGCAAAATTAAAAATAAACGAAATAATGCATATGAGGTAATATTTTGAATGGAAGTTTTGAATATTTTTGGCCAAAAAAGGAAGATCGTCTCTATCTCTAGCAATTCTTGGGAAATCTGGTGGGAAGTCTGTGGGTATTCTCGGGTAGTCTTTAGGAAATCTCATTACATTTTACAGTCACCGACGACAAGGAATGAAGGCGGATGTGACGCTTTCTTGATGGGAATTCTAGAGAATCCGTTGTGATTTTTATTTCCTATTTGCTATTTAAGCAAATTGTCGCGTGTTTATTAGGAGTTCCAACATCAATGCCAAAGTGATTATTAATGAAGTGCGCGCCCGTATGTGTTAAATTTGTATACAAGGCTCATACATTCATTAATAATTAATTGTAAATAAATAAATCACGTAATTAAATTTACGTTACCATACCCTAGATGTGGTTTCGAAGACCCGTTATTTATTTAATTCGGCATTAACGGCCCCTGAATTTTCATAAAAATTGCGTAAATTCATATCATTGAGACCAATTTTTTACTCGCATGAAGTTAGACAACGAATTCCAGCAATGGGTTCACTAAATTCAAAGTTAGACAGACACAAGATTTAGATAAAATGAAATTAATATTCTTAACTTATCTTCCCTTACTGACTGATGACTGGCGATTATAAAGTACGTTGTAACTTTTTTTTAAATTCAGCTTCAAATTTAAATCCATTTAGTAACCTTCTGTGCATTTCTCGTGCAAGTTCTCGTTGTAGTAAGTTTTGTTGGTTGAGTTTTTATTTCATAGTTTCTTATTTTTCCGCTAGAGGGCATGAAGATGTTTTAAAGTTGTTCCCTACTCTTCTTAATGCTTGCGTGCGCACTCCCTATGCGGGATGCGATATCGTTCCTCGTGTTCAAATCTCCTATCAATATCTCGTGAACAATCCTTTGAGGCAAATTGAGTCAGTGTTTAAAAGATCACGTATTTTTACCAGATTTTCGGCAGATCGGTTTGTTGAGGGTCTTCCAGCATCGGTCATCTTCAACCTCTGCTCTTCACGAATCATAGCAAAAGTTTCCGTAGCAGTTTTGTTAAGTTTGACACAGAACTTGATCGCTGCTCAATAAGTCGCTACATTTTCACTTTCCAACGTTTTCCACGATTCGCTAAAATCTTGATTTGCCCACTCCATCGTTTCGGAGCGAACTGCCCTCACTTCAGTAACACTCCCAAATACTCTCCCCTGGTAAACTATAGTGAACTGCGCGCCATCTTCTAGCCAGGGAAAAATCAGTCCCAATTCTTTCTGGACACACCTCGTATGGGGCGCTATTATTACCCTTTTCTTGTTTTGTTTTGATGTGTTTATCTACTATTGGCAAAGAGCACCCTTCTGAGCTCGTAATATTTAATATTTTAATTTCGTTGTTACTCTGTGAGATTAACGTTTGTGCATAAGGCTTTCGATACAGCCGAATTGTAATTAATATATTTTTTCTGATAGTCCGTTATTCCTGCGGGAGTGTATCTCACTATGGTGATGATCTGAGTCGATTATTATGAAAACATATTTTTAAGAATTTGTACAGCGTGAGTCAACGATTGCGCGGAGTAACAATGCCTTGGTGATAAGATTTTTCGATAGAGTGCTTTCATATTATGATATGGTTGAATAATCTCCACATTTTAAAAATATTTTGAATTGTACAGGGTCCGTTCACAACGTAGAGCGCCAACAAGGTACATTTTTAAATGGAACCGTCTGATTTGAATGCATTTTTTTATTGAATATAAAAGCAAGGAAAACCAAGATATTTCGAAAACTATCACAGATTTTAGAAGAGCTAAAGAAGATAGAAATATATGCATGGCGTTCCATTTAAAAAAGTGGAATTTTTAATATAAAGTTTTGTAACTTTGGATTTACAAAGAAGACACCCTGTAAACTTATTTTTAATTGTTTTATAGTAGACTAGTAATTTTGACAATAAACTGACGCTTGCAAATGTCAAATGTTTCTTATTAATCGAATTATCTTTAAAATTACAAGTTCTTCGTATATTAACGATATAATAAAAAAAGTCGTGCAATTACACGTATAATTATTAAAAAATGCATTCCAATACAGAGGGGCCCATTTAAAAAAATGTACCGTTTTATCGCCCTGCCTTGTGAACGCACCCTGTATAATTCAAAATATTTTTAAAATGTGGAGAACCTTATCGTAATACAGAAGCACTCTAAGGCATTGTTACCCTGCGCAATCGTTGACTCACTCTTTACATAAGTGTTTTTCTATGAGCTCGTTTCAGATAAAAGATTTTCAGTTTTATATGACGTCGACACTAATTTGAAAATATGAAAAGCTATTTATTTTCTCTTCAACCGTGGGTCGGCACTAAAAATTAGGGTATTTTATATGTTTCTTAGTGGTTCGAAAAAAAATTGTTCGTATTAGCCGTTTTACAATAAAGCACGTATTGATAGATGGTCTGTAAATATATCGCAATTGATTCAAGTTAATCAATGGTTAGGCTAAAAACTATTAAACCACCCCAATTTTCTTTCAAGTTGTAAGGGTTCTTCGATAGGCACGCGGGTAGCTGTCGTTGTGACTCCAATAAAACACACCACTTTTTATGGTAGGTCTGGAAATCAGGTGCTCAGGTCAACAAGTAACAGGAAGAAGTGTCCTGTGAAGCAGAGGAATCTTCCTTTTATACACAAAAATGATTAGTGATAAAAACACGAAGTGGAAATGTTATTGCGCGCAATGCTTTGTCATTGTCAGATAGTGATATCTAGCGACCGCAAACATAGTTAATTTTAAGGGAGCGTTCACATTCTTACTTTACAAGTTTCGTGTTTATCATCATCATCATTACTTAGATCATTAGAAATAGCGAATAGAATCAAAGGTTTCTTGTGCATCGCTAACCAACGTAACCATTTGTTTCTATTGGCTATTTCTTAATGATAGTGAACCAATGGTAATGATTGTATAAACCAACCAATACTCGTATCTACATACCTAAATAAAAATGAATGTTTGTATGTAGGTATGTCTCCTATACCTGCCTAAACCGTTTATCTAGTTTATCCGATTGCGATGAAAATTTGGGAAAATGTTGGACGTATGCCCGCGAAGGTTTCTATATACATAAACCGGTATGGAGTTACGCGGGCGTGAGAGGTGATGCCGGAACCGAGCGTATGTCCCATCTAAGAAAACGAGATTTCCCAATATTTTGAGCAATATGATTGGATGGTTCAAAATATCTTCTGTTACTTGTTAAAAAGAACACAAGTTTTGTTGGATGTTTACTTTATTAATGAGACCATTACAATTTCATTAAATTTGGGTACACTGTCGATGCTACGGCTTAGACGAACTGTACTTTCTCCAGGTTTTTAAGCACAAAATCACGTTCATTTGAATCAACGAATGTTGCCCTCTCAGAATCAGTTATTTAGCAATCTCAGGAAAAGAAAGCAAATTCCTGGCTCCTCTACAATACTCGAATTGTTTGCAATCGACCGGTTCATTTGCACAATGCAATGGAGTAAGTAAACTGATCTTGAACCCAACTAACTACCATTGAACTTGCAAAGGTGGTTTATAACACTTTTAATGCAAATAATCTGTTCAAACGGAAAAAAAAATGTCTTGCATCACTCTACAAGATGAAAAAAACAAGGTCAAGTACAGCAGCATGCGAGAACGAAATTGCTACTTGACAGTTGATGGGTTGTAGGTGTATAAATTAGGTTACACCTTAAACGGAAGTATGGATTGGGAGAAAGTTATTAAATGATCACGATCAAGGATTGAATTCCATAATTAAAATTTCATTTGCATACTGGCAACTTCGGTTGTTTATATTAATTGACAATTATGTTAATTATTAACCTGTCCCTTTTGCTATTAGTTATACAACTTATTAATTAAACAAATATTTCTCGTTAAATTTTCCAACGGGAAGTTACAATATTATTTTTATAATCTCTTCTACACTTCTTTATGATGACTTTTGCTGTCATACGTCGTGTTGACAGTTACTAACGCTAATGCATGTGGCTTTTTTACTTAGAATTTAGGCTAAACACTTTTGTACTTTTTTTTATAGTGTAATTGAATATTTATTAAAATAGTGTACTTATGTGTGCGTATGGAAAAACCATGTAAAAGTAAAGTGTATTACAAAGAGCTGTGATAATTTTGAATCTTTCTTTTTTTATTTTTTACCTACCCCGTGTACAAAAAATGATGGATATTATCTTTTTCAGTGCCAATACCTTCCAAACGGAAGACCAGAATCGAAAAAAATGTGTTAACAAACATGGAAACAATCAAGGGACCCATAAAGCTATTAACAAAATGCAAGGACGAACGTATACAAATCAAGGTAAAATTTCATTCCCACATACAAATTTGGTTTTGTAACTTCTATGATAATGTTCGAAATAGTGAAACAGTCCGGTCGGCGGTCGTGAATAAATTTGCAAAACAACATCAATATGCACGCATACAATCTTGTTCAATGGCAACGACTTCTCAATAAAAATGATAGTTGGCCTTAAGTATATCAATGCTAATGATTGCACAACAAGGAAACTATGGCAGAAGGTTAGTAGTTAACTCACCACAACAGTTACTCAAATCAAGAAACATTATCCTTCTATTATACTGGACACGTTTAGTAACCAACAGGTCCATTGATCTTCATGGTCAACGCCATGGTCGAATTAATCTAAGCAATCGGTCTTCGCTTTCTTACCTGTCAATAAATAATTTAGGCAGAAACTAACCTTTCCGAATGCTATTATGTAAATTACACTTACGCTCAAGTACGTTTAACGGAATATAGAAAGCGTCATTTTAATATCAATTTTTTTCTTAAATTGGCCAATTTTTAACTGGGTGTGATGCAATCATCACCCAGTATTTATAACCACTGATTCATGGCAAAAAAGATTTAATTTACGGACTGTATACAAAGATTGTTCAAAAATTAATCAAATGATTTGCGCATAGAACAAAATAATTACGTGGGAATAACGTTTTTGCCATGAAAGCAGATGCTGTAAGGCTAAACTTTGTACATTGACACAAAAGAAAATTGTTACTTGAAGCTACTTTCTCCTATAAGAAAGTGAATGTCGATTCACTTTTTAAAGTGTATTTTTTGCAGATGTTACTTGCATTATGTTAAATTATTTTCGCTGCAGCCAAAAGTAGCCAAAATATTTAAACAACAATTTAAAAAGCGTTATCACATTAATTAACGATGATAATTTACTTTTCTTTGTATAAAAAGTGAACGACCCACGGTCTTAGTAGCAAAGATTAGACGGTGAAAGGTGAAAGAACGTATTATATTGCAATTAGAATTTGTTTACTTTTATTACTGGTAGGTACGTTGGTGTAATTAAACCATTTATGATTAATTGTCCGTAACGGAAAATGCGTACACTTTCATTATAAAGCATTATTATTTATAACGATTTTATTACGATTACTTATTACAGGAAAGAGTATTATACAAAAAGGTACACTGTTTTGCAATAGCACAACACACAATCAATTATTGTCAGGTCAAAATATATGACTTTTCATTTTTTCCGATGCGGTTTACAACTCAAAATTTCTTCAATTTTTTAAAACATTCAAAACAAGGGAATCCGAAACATGAAAAAAAGCAATATCCGACCATATTCGGTTGTTTCTAAATATGCGCCGGTCCTTCCTCTAAGGAGAGCTTTCACAATTTGCATAATTAAAGACACTTTTGCTAGTGATTGCCATTGAAACAAGAAATGAAAGGAAGGCTACTATCTTTGCATTTCTCTAGTACTATTGTACATTGCAAAGGAGTAATGCACATATTTCGTACATACTTTTTTGAATTCCCTTGGCACGGTATTCTCATATATAATACCATAAGTAGTCGAAGTATTGTCGAATATTTTTGAGGTGCTGTCACGAATGCTAGTTACGCTGATTAATACCACGAGCGCTTGCGCGAGTGGTATTAAAAAGCGTAACTAGCATGAGTGGAACAGCAGCTCAAAAATAATCTACAAATACTTCGACTACGAATGGTATTCGGAGGACTATTCAATGAATCAAAAGAAAAATTAAGCATAATTACCCACGCGAATGTATTTCCATGACAACAATAAACGTCAAAATAAATTACGGAAGTTGCTTTTCATTTTGCTATCGATTCTATTCGAACTTTTGTGCTCCAAGCTAATTCGTTATGAGTGATTAAATTAAAAGATGTGGTGATAAGTGGGTTGTCGAAATTGATTAACAAACTAAGAAGAATGTTCCGGTTAATACGACAAAATTTCGCGACATTTCACTGGTGGAAGTTTGACAAATGTCATTGAATAATCGCATTGAATTGTCGCTGAAATACCACACGTGAAATTATCTGTATTATTCAATGGTATTCGGAACATTTTCCCTCGCATTTTCCACAGTAGTCTTTTGGTATCACCCAATCTTTTTTTCTAATTTTAACCCTACACGACATATCGACAATATTAAAGGAATGAAGACATAGCAAACACCTAACGGTTTTCAAAGAATTCTGAAAAATTACCGTGGGTTATCACGGAACATAAGTGATTGGTTTAAGTCTGATTTTATCATACATATATCAATAGATACCCTTTTAAGGAAAATAAGGCGGGATGCAAGTAATAAGTAGTCGTTTTTTATTTCACATATACTCGTAATATCACGATTATATTGGATTTAAAAACATAAATAAATTAATTCATAACGCAAGCATGTACATACTGGCGAACCAAATATTGGCTATGAAGGTATGGAAAAAGTCCAGCCGATTTTGATTCACGTAGTTTCTTCAATGTACTCAACAAATAAAAGATTCTCTAGTACTGTGTGGCACTGGCATGGGTATTTTTTAGAATGATATTCTAGATTGGTGAAAAAACAATCAACATTTTGAGGTTTTTAATATTGGGCCACCCTGTATGTGGAATACCAATTTTTTTACATAAATTTGGTTACTGGTTTTGAATTAAACACGCAGTTTGTTCTTTTTATTTAACTTTGATGTTCAACGTTGTTTTTTTGTTAAATGTTTAAGTTTTGTGTAAATTGAACGCGTTGTATTTGTTTATTTTTTTTTGATAGTGAAGTTTGTTTATTGAAGAAAGTTGGTTGATTTAATGTACGACGTCAAGTGAATTAATCGAGTTCGTGAGGAGTTTTAAGAGGTTTATCCGCATCCGGGAAAATAATAGTTTGAGTATGTGTCAATCAAGTCATTCAGTGCACGGTGAGACCTTTCTTCGAGGTTCTCCAAGTATTCGCTAAAGCAAGATTTTTCTTTCCTCCATTCAGGAAACCACAAATTTAATCATCAATTCAACAAAACCTGTTGTGTGATCACGATTAAATGAAATAGAAAAGAAGTGAAGCTTTCAGCCAGTCAGCGAGTGTTTAGTTATGCGCCAGAAAATTGCCGTTGATGGCCAGATTATTGTATTATTAAAAACTATCAGTAATTAAGTAATCGTCTATCGATCGCTTACATGCGTGCAAACAGACCTCTCTTTCTCTCCGCTTTGTCATGTTGTGTGTAGCCCGAATACATGTTATTCTGTGTTTAATCGAGCCCTAAATTTGATAAAGTTAATAAAATGAATCGAGATTTTTTCATTGTAGCGGAAGCCGGATGTGTCTTGGAAAATGTATAATCGCGTTTATTTAATTGAGCTAGCTGGACAGGTGTTTTGGGTGGCTTACGGACCTTTGCCATTGCACACAGCAATATTCCAGTTATTATCCAAGGTGCCTATCTCTATTATGAGAATATTTCAATTTAGTAAGTGTAAATCTGGGGGATTATTTACGAATAAGCACAAAGTCGGTTGATTGTATTTGAATTTGTCACTTCAGTGCCTATTTTTACTTTTAGATTTGTTTGTAATTGCCTATTATTTTCTTGTTTATATTTGATCGCTTTTGTCACGTTTGCGCACTTGCATCTGGTCGTTTGCGTTTTTTTATCACTGTGAAGAGATAAGGTGTTTTACGTTGTATACGTTATTTTCAGCATAAGTGGAGACGCGGGACGCTTTCTTTCGAAGCCGGCGTTATCAAGTCCAATTGTGGTGCTCTCTTAAATAGTGGAGTCAACGTAAAAACAATGCTGCTGCAGTTCCGCGAGGTTAGCAATCTTACTGAAAGATTTAAGTTATCGTCAAGTGAAGTACGTAGTAAAGGTTTGACGAAAGTTTTTAAAATGGTTTGTCCGTATTCAGAAAAAGTTAGTGAGTAAAGAAAATTAAAAGTTTCTACCGTCCGAGCAGTCACCGAAAATGGTTGCATCTTATTTCGAGTAATGGAATTCAGTTTAATAAAGAAAAAGTTAAGCTTCCAGAAGCTGTCGGCGTTTTTGGGTCTTTGATAAGTGCACCGGAATATCACAAGCCTTTTATGACCAGATTATTAGAGAGCAAAGCTGTAACCTAAAATTTTTTAAAATTATCGACCGACTGAGTGCGGGGTATTATGTTTAACTAAGCTTTATAACCTTCATGTGAGATTTTTCCATTCGTGTCCAAGAAGTATTTCATGTGTTCAAAAGTTGTGTAATAAATTCGAGGTCACCGAATCTCTCAAATTGAAAAGTCAATATTTGGATTCTTCTTATAGCGTTATAGCAGATGCCGGATGTGTACTAGGAGAGATTATGAAATTGTAAGTTACAATTTTGATTTGTTTTGATCTAGCTGGACAGGTGTTTTGTGGGTGGCGTAGTGACCATTACACACAAAATTTTTAAGGCTACTTACAAGAAAAGTTAAAATATAGTCTCATAGAAAAATATTTTTTTATTATAGCAATTTTTATACCTAAATTAGGAAAATTACGAAACCCTTGTATTCGTCCAAAATTTAGCCCGAAAAAAACGACTGATAAACTAAACACACAAAGACATAGCAGAAATTATAATAAAAAAATGAAACCATTCCATGTGCAAGAAAGCAAACTGAAATGTGACTCGTTACAAAAATAGTTTCTGAAAGTATTTCTGTACAAGACGTGGTGAGTGTTCGAGATGCCTCTACCAAATTTCCAGTTTTTGCTTTCATTTGTTATAAAATGTGCCCTGATTTGCAAAAAAAATTATCTGTAAACCCATTAAATCAAAACCTCTCGCCAGGAAAGATTACCGGTCACAGAACACTTGATCCCGGTCTACAATCTATGTTTTTCTAAAGATGTGAGCGACTTCCGGGATAGTATCGTGTCAAAAAGACTTTTCGTTCAACATTGGCACGATCCTATTCCGGAAGTCGCTCACATCTTTAGAAAAACATAGATTGTAATCGACATAAGGTGCCCTGTGACCGCCAATCT